ATAAAAAACGTATTTTTTTTTGAAAAAAATCTATTATTTTAACTTTTTTAGATGCAAAATTATTAATAATTATTTTATCATCGATTTCTTTGAATAATTATTTTTCAAATTATAATATAGCTAGCCTAACTTATTTAATCTTTCTTGAGAATTGGTGATCTTAGACAAAATATTATTAATTTTAATTTTAAAAAAATTCCATCGAGGCAACTGTCAACATTATTTTATAAGAAATATAAGCATTTAGAAAAGAATCAAGTCTTTTTATTTGATTGAATATGTTGATTAGAGTATTATTTTCTCCTTGTAATATTTTCTCTAACACTTTTAATTTAGAATAAGTCTAAACCATCAATATTAGAGTGATTATTATATTTTAAGGAACATTCAAAGTTAAAATAATATTTTTAAAAAGTTTCGTCAGTTAATGATCTCAAATTTTCACCACTAAATTTTTTGAACTATTAAACTTTTAAGCTCTTGGAGAAAGAAAGTAAAAAAGAAATAAAAGATAAATTATGTAATCTTATAGAGAAGCGAAAAAGAAAGACTTTGACTGAAAAAAAAAATTTAAAAGTATTCTTATATCCCATAATAAAAATAATTCTAATAATGACGGTTTATTCACAAATGTAACAAAAATTATTTTTCCTTTTATATGAAAAAAATTATTTTTCTACTAAAAGTACTCAATACGTGTTCTTAAAAAAATTTATAAATTTATTGTTGCTAAAAAGTGGGGCCCCCCAAATTTGGGGGCCTAAAGCAAGTGCTTTACTTGTTTCACTATGAACCCGACACTATATCAGAAGATGATATAAGAACATTTTTGTGAATTATGTACATGGATTATTTGATTTGTTGTGAAGATCATGAATTCACGTGAACTCTAATTTATTTAAGTAGATCTGCCCCTGAGCGGAATCGAGAATCATGTTTGTACACTAATGGAGCATGCATGTCGAGTACAAATTTTTTTTTCTTTTTTTTACAAAGAATCATATTAATAGCCTGTTTGGCCAAGCTAGAGAAATAAACTTATTTTGAGAAGTGCTTTTGAAAAAAGTACTTTTTGGAGAGAAACAGTTTGTGTTTGACTAATCACTCTGAAAAGCACTTTTGAGCAATAATTTGTGTGTCACGACCCATTTTCTGAACAAGCCGGGACCGACACTCGATCACTAATCATGACCGAGCGAACCATCTCTGCTTATCAAATCTATTATAACTCCAAACTTTATATGCAACAAGACAATACTCTAACCAAATACTTTTGATTAATTTAAATATTTAAATAAATCAACTCTAAAATTTTATTCGTAGTAACTACTGAATTACTGCTAAGTTATTATCAAAAACATATGAATATTAACCCAACAGCTATGTCTGCGAAGCCTCTACTGATAAACTGACGCACTGCTCAGGACATGAGATTTCCTGGCCAGTTCTATAAGTAAACAAAGAAATAACTAAATAAAGATAACTCTAAGGAATACTCCACGAACAAAAACGGAGCTCACCAATAGCACTGGAAGAGAAGAAAGTCCTAACTCGTAGCCTGCTCACCTGCAAATCCGGTTCCTACGTTGTACTGCAGACCAACGTAGGTTCCAAAAAGAGAACGTAAGTACCATCCATTGTACTCAGTGAGTCTCAACAATAGGGGGTGAAACTTTAATAACATGTGCATTACGGGCAAATGTTCTAAATGCATGTAAAATATAAAGCTTATAAGAACAATTCTAAAATAATTGCATAATAACAGTTTATGGATATTCTAAAAGAAATTCTTTTCTTTTTCTTTCTTAAAAAAAATACTTCGCTTTATACTTTGGGAGTTCCAAATCCTGACTTAATTCTGTCTCAGTCACCAAGTGATCGGCACAGGTTTGATCCCAACCTGATCGAATAGGCCCAATCCACGAGGTACCACTCGCTTCATGGTTCTTAGCGCTCATGTATCATACCTTAGCATGGCTAAGTAAAATCTCAGCAATGAGACCCTTGGCTCGTGTGCTCCCTAATTTAGCACAAGTAGTTTCAGGAAGTCAACGCCTTGATCAAGACCCTCGGCCTGGGCGATGACCCTTTCTCACAATAAAGTATACTCCCAAAAATCTTTTCTTTCTAAAACTTCTTCTTGTGACTTTTCAAGTCTAAATCTTTTCTTTTTGGAACATCATGTACATGCTCATGCTGGTATCCTTAAATGAAAAGCATGGCATAAGAATGAAATAAACATCTAAAAGTATTTCTAAAGATTCTTGCTTCTTCATAAATTTTCAACATGAAAATAGCATATAAGAATAACACAAAAATCTGAAAATTTATGCATATATATCATAATAAATCATCGAAACTTTTGGTAGAACAATTCTAAGTAATAGGTACTTACTCGTTCCAATTAAATAAATATAAACTCTTTTAAGCAATTCATCAAACATCTTGTATGCGTGCTTTTGTGTGTTAAGCCACTTTAGTAAAGGGTTGTATCAACTCACCTCAATACTCCTTGAGCCAATACGTAGACCTCAGTCCAATTTATACCCGTCAAATAATTGATTCTACAATAACCAGTGCATTTTAATTAATTTTAAAGTTTCACACCTAAACCTGGGATTTACTGTTGATACGGAGAAAGAAGGGAATTAACTATTCAATTCTTACCTACTACCACTGTAGAATAATTGACAATAGAAAATTTTATATACCTGAGTTCAAGAGTTAGTGATTTGTAAAGAAACCTAGAACTTCCTGTTGCCTGCGTGAGTACTGAGTAGCAAGGCTCTATTTCACGATTCTCTATTTCGTGCATGAAGAGACGCTTGTTCTGTTTCTTTGTGTAAACCCTTTTTTAAAATCCTTTTGCCTTCCATAGCCCTTATGGGCTAAGGCCATTCACGTGCTCTCTTTTCTTATTTGCCCCCCCCCCCCGACTTAACTAGTGTTTAGTTATATTTATTTTTAATAATTAATAATATTAAAATTATTAATATTTTCTCTAATTGTATATCCAATTATTTATACATAGAGAAGTAACTCAACAATCAATCACAAGGGTTTAAATCCGTATTAAAAGTATAATTTAAGATTATAAAAATTATATTCTATATTTAACGTGTCTTGAAACTTTTATAGATTTGAGGAGTGTTACATTGTGTTTGGCCAAGCTTTTCAAAAAGTACTTTTAAATATCAAATTACGAATAAGGACATGAATAGATTTACTTAATAGTAATATTATAAGTAAATAATAATCTCAAAAATTTGTTATTACATGCAATAATTAAATCTTTTCATTTTATTTAAGTAAAATATGAAAATAAAATTTAAAAGTACTTAATTCTTTTAATATAAGTTAAATATATTGAAAATCATTCAACAAATATAAAAACATTCACCCTTAAAGTTACTATATATTAGAAAACTATCCTAAAAATAATAAGAAATATTTATACATTAATATCGTAAGTATTAGGTTTAACTTGGTATACACTAGTTTTTGTTAAGGGTATTTTGGTAAGAAGAAAAGTCAAAACTGCTTCTGCTTCTGCTTTTGAGAAGAAGCTATTTTTTTCTGCTTCTCAGAAACTGCTTCTGCTTCTTCCCAAAAGCACTTTTTCCCCCAAAAAAACTTGGCCAAACACCTCAAGTTAGGAAAAAAAAGAGTTTTTGAGAAATAAAGCACTTTTGGCCTCTTGAGAAGCTTGGCCAACCAGGCTATAAGTCTAGCCTGCACGGTTCAGAATTAATCCTAAAAATAAGTGAGCTATCGATTGGCAATTTAAAACTGAAAATAAATAAATGAAATAAAATGTCCAGCACCAGAGCGAAAGATTTTAATCATAAACGAAATTAGAAGCCATAGTATTTAGTGGCTAAAGAGAGCTTTTCGATGGCATAGTCTTAGGTTGTAGGTGCACAATCAAAAGAGGGGGAAAAATAAAAAGTATTAAAATTGCCCCCCGGAGTAGTGACGCCAGAAATAATAGTAATATTAATGTATTACAAACGACTTTCTTGATTTTAAAGTGAAGCAATAAGTTGCCTCTACCAAATAGTGTTTCCCAAGTAACAGCTTGTTTGGAGGGTTGTTATCCATTGTATCGTATCGTATCACATTATTATTTTAAATATAATATTTATTTTGATTGTTACTTAAATTTTATTGTATTGTATCGTTAAATCCATCGTTACATAACGACGAAATGTGTCACTTTATATAACGACCGATTTGGTGTGGTCGCGTCGTTACCTTGTCTTTTTCTCTCAATCTCACCCTTTATGATTATTAAATTATTTTATTTTATCATTTACCCTACTTTTTTATATAGTAATTTTACCTTGTATCATAATTTTTCTTTATAATATTCCAAGTTTATTCTTCATATTGCTGGTGCGTGATATCATGAAACGATGGCAAACGACACAATCTATCCAAACATTGTATTTATCAAACGATACAGTACAATACAATACAGTACGATACGATACATTATGAAACGATGCGTAACAACCATCCAAACAAGCTGTAAAAGTCATCTCCTTAAGCGCTACCTCTCATCTTTAGAGTCTGTTTAGCCAAGCTATCAAAAACTGCTTACTTTTAAAAATATTTTTATTCAAAAATACTTTTTGAAAAAAATACTTTTGCAAAATAGCAGTTTGTGTTTGTCCGATTACAGAAAAGGATAGTAAATGTTCAATTTGTGATTAGTATTATTTAGAAAAAATAAAAATTTAATTATTTATTGTTAGTTGCCATGGACAGCAGATCTGAAGCTCAAATAGAAGATGAGTTGAAGCAGTAAAGAAGAGAAAGGAAGAGAACACTGTTCCATTGAAAATGAGAAAAAAATGAACTGTTGTATATTTAAGCTAAGCTAAGAAGATATTTATATCTTCTTCTAACTACCAACTAATCAACCTAGTTAGTGATTACAATAATAGTTAACTACAGTTAATTATCAGCTTGTTTATTTAACCCTTCAATACTCCCCCTCAAACTGATGATTGATACACATTCTTCAACCCAAAATTGTTTAACAGATACTCTTGTTGAGCTTTTCCAAGACACTTATTTAGTAGGTCTGCCAATTGATCTTCAGTATGTACATACTTAGTCTTCAACATTCCTTCACATAGTTTTTCCCTCACAAAATGACAATCAATGTCAATATGCTTTGTTCTCTCATGAAAGATTGGATTTGCAGCAATTTGGATTGCTGCCTTGCTGTCACATACTAACTTCATAGGCAAACACACTTTTCTTCCTAGTTCTGCATATAACCCTATAAACCAATTAACCTCTGCTGCACAAGAGGCCATACTCCTGAATTCTGCTTCAGTTGAGCTTCTGGAGACAATGCTTTGCTTCTTGGACTTCCAAGATACTAGGGCATTTCCAAATTTCACCAGATAGCCAGTTACTGATCTTCTTGTTTCTACACAAGCTTCCCAATCAGAATCACAGTAGGCAGTCAGATTCTTTGTGTCTTTTGCAGGCATAAGTAGTCCAAGACCAGGTGCTTTCTTTATATACCTCACTACTCTTGATGCTGCCTCCATATGAGAAATTCTAGGACAATGCATAAATTGACTTAAAACCTGTACGACAAAGGCGATGTCAGGTCTGGTCATAATTAGGTATAGTAATTTCCCAACTAGTCTTTGATAAACACCAGGATCTCTTAGCACTTCATCAGCAGTAGCATTTCCTTTTCTGAAGGATAAATCATATTCTATAGTACTCAGCTTTTGGTAGAGCTCCATAGGTGTACTTACTAGCTTTGCTCCACTGAGACCTGTTTCAAAGATCAACTCTAAAGCATATTTTCTCTGACTCATTAGGATCCCTTTGTTAGACCTTTCAAATTTAATACCTAGAAAGAACTTTAGTTCTCCCAGATCCTTCATTTTGAACCTGCTTTAAAGATTTAGCCTTGTGTCACATAGCAGCTTGTGATTGCTGCCAGTAATTAAGAGATCATCTACATATAAAAGTATGATCACAATATCATCCCCAACTCTCCTGACAAATAGTGAGTAATCATAGTGACTCTGCTGAAATCCCATATGTACAAGTGCTTCTATAAGCTTTAGATTCCACTGCCTGGGTTCTTGCTTGAGGCCATACAAGGATTTTTGAAGTTTGCAGACCTTTTGAGACCCCCTATCTAGCAAACCCCTCAAGCAATACCATATATACCTCTTTATCTATGTCACCATTAAGAAATACATTATGTACATCCATTTGATAAATGTACCACTATTTTGAGGCAGCAACAGCAACAACAGATCTCACCGTGACCATCTTGGCCACTGGTGAGAAAGTTTCTCCATAGTCTAGGCCCCCTTTTTGAATATACCCCTTAGCTACCAGTCGAGCCTTGAACCTCTCAACTTCACCTGTAGCCTTATACTTGATCCTGAACACCCACCTACAACCAATATGTGTCTTGCCAGGAGGTAGGTCTACAATAGACCAAGTATTATTATCTTCCAAGGCCTGTAGCTCAAGTTTCATAGCTTCTATCCACTTAGGATCAGATGCAGCTTCCTTGAAGTTGGATGGTTCTGAAACTGCTGAGTAAACTGAGACTGTCTGTCTATAGGTGGGGGAGAGATGATTGAAGTTCACATGTGCAGAGATAGGGAAGTTGCACTTAGTACCTTTAGTCTTTGTTACATAGTCCTGTAGCCAAATAGGAGGCTTGATTGGTATGGAAGATCTTCTACAACCTATGGAAGGTTCATCACTGACTGCATCAGGAGTAGGAACTTCAGTAGGAGGTGAAGGAACATCAAGGGCAGCATTTGGCTCAAAATTGTCAAGTTGCTATATATGCTCCTCCAGATCAGATGTTTGTTGTAGTTCAACATCTGAGAAATGGTTAGCCTCTGAATTCAAGGAAGGTGATAGCAAAGGAGATGGTGCAACAATTCCAATTGTAGTGCTTTCATGAATCACTGGGGAGAGTAAATCCAACACAGGAAATACAGGATTGCCATATGACTTCACATGTTTGAAGGGGAAGACATCTTCCTTGAATATGACATTTCTGCTTACTAGAAATGTTTTTGAGTGTAATTCATACAGAAGATAACCCTTTTGTGTTGAAGAGTACCCCATAAGCACAACAGGAATAACTTTGGGTGAGAACTTGTCTAGTACTCTAGGAGTTGCAGCATAACACAGGAAACCAAAGACTCTTAAGTGAGACAGAGAAGGAGAATGCAAATAAAGCATCTCAAATGGTGATTTATAGTCAATCACTTTGGAAGGAAGACTATTCAGTATATAAGCAGTAGTAGTAACACACTCACCCCAAAACCTTAAAGGAACAAAAGCTTGGAATTTGAGTGCCCTTGCCATATTAAGAATAGTTCTATGTTTCTTTTCTACCACTCCATTTTGTTGGAGTGTATATACACATGAGCTTTCATGCACAATACCAAGACTAGACAACAAGTTTTTGAAATCAATACTGAAAAACTCACTTTCATTGTCAGTTCTCAAAACCTTAACTGTGGTAGAGAATACATTTTGAACCTGGGCAAGAAAATTCTTTAGAACAACATAAGCTTCAGACTTAGAGGTTAAAAGAAATATCCAAGTATATCTACTATAGTCATCTACTATAGTAACAAAGAATCTTTTTCCATCATGAGTAGGACATCTATATGGTCCCCAAATATCACAATCAACCAGTATTAACATGGATTTAGTTGCAGTACTGCTAAGCTAAAAAGGAAGTTTACTTTGCTTGGCTAGTGGACATACAATACAGTGTTGACTATCTCTAGTAGTCAACTTATTTAACTTGTCTACTCTTCTTATTACATCTAAGGGAGCATGTCCCAATCTCCTGTGCCACAAGCAGCTTGAGCCTGCAAGAGAGGGAGCAGTAATTGCAGATGCGCTCTTATTTGTCATTTGAACTAAGAATTGTTCTGAAACACCTTCTTTAAGCACATAAAGTCCATATTTCTCTCTACCAATCCCCTTCACTTGACCACTATAAATATCCTAAAAAATACAAAAGTCCGAAAAGAAGCCTACCATACACTTTAGTTCCTTGGTGACTTGTGAAACTGAGAGTAAATTGAACTTAAAGTCTGGAATGTAGAGCACATTAGAAATCTTCTGATTGTTCAACACAGATGTACTCCCTGTGTGTGAGATTAGCACTGCATTACCATTAGGAAGATGAACTATATTTTTCTCTGTTGTAGGAAGTGACTTATGTGTTTGTAGTAACTCAAGTCTAGATGTCATGTGATTTGAGGCTCCAATATCAATTATCCAATCACTATTGATACATTGAGACACAAATGCATTCATTTGAGTAAGAATACCTGCAGCAGCTATTTTGCTAGATGATCCAGAACCTTCTGCACTTCCTTTGGAAAGCATTTGAACAATCCTGCTGGTATTGCTCCTGAGTAAAAAATGGTTGTGTCTGTGTCATTTGTGGTATTATAGGATTAGTTAAAGTGATCCCTTTTAATGATGAGATCCACTGTTCAATTGATTTTCATAGCTGATGTGCTCTTCCTCTGCTGCAAAATTTGGATTATCTGCAAAATTAGCATAAAGTCCAAGTGCACTTCCTTTTCTTTTAGACTTAAAATCTGGTGGGTAGCCTATTAGCTTGAAGTAGTTTTCTTTGTATGCCCTTTGTAAAGACAGTAATCACACCGAACATTATTCTTTCTTTGTCTATAACCTCCACTGGTGACATTTTGACCTTTGTTCCCATACAAGGCAGTGCTCTCTAGACCTTCTGCAAGCTGTGTAACCTGGGCCATGCTTGCCAGATTTCTTTGACTCTTATTGGCCCAAGTAAAGGTTAGTTTTGAAGACTGGCAAAGGAACTCAGGCATGAACCAGGTCCATCCCTCAGGTGCATAAAAACGGGCAGATTCAAGCATGTGGGATGCACGTGAAGGAGATAAACTTAAATTGCTGTATTTAATATCTCCTGATCGAAAATGTTGCATAATTGATAAGAGAAGGACTCCTTAATCAAAGAGAACACTATCCAAGATAGGGAAGGAGTTAGAAGTTGAAATCAACTAGAACTCTTCCACCAAGGAAGAGTTGCATCAGAACTCTAGTTATTTCTTCATCTACTAACTCTATAAATTGCAGGATGTTCTCACATTACATGTGTTGCACAAAAACACAGAAGTTAAACGTAAATTGAGAGCAAAATAGCCAGGTTTTTTGCAAGCAGTTCGTGTGTGATTCAAGTGTGCAAACCTGAAGCTACATGAACCAGATTGAAGAACCAGCTCCATAAAGAGTTTTATATGTCTTTCTTTATTTCTAGTTCAGTTGTAGTAGGTGTTTTCATGTTGTACCTTTCAGCTTTATCTAGAAGCAATTGTAATAGGTACTTTGAGTACTCAAGTTAGAGTTAACTTGAAGTTGTTACAACAATTAGAGGCTGGGTTGCTACAACGGGGTTAGAGGTAATCCTTAGGTCTACAAAGAATTTTGTAAATGCTGTTTTGGCTCAGTGATTTAGTGAAATGTTGGGGAAAATCCTACTGAGTAGTAGGTCGTGGTTTTTTCATCTTTTGAGCTGGGTGTTTTTCACGTAAAAATACTTGTGTTCTTTACTTTCTACATTTATTATTCCGCAACAGTAGCAGAAGGAACACATAGAAGAACTAGGTCCTGCCATAATCAGTTTAAGCGAAAAATTGGTCACCACACAAATAACCCCCCTCTTGTGTGGTATTGAAGTCTAAAATATCAATTGGTATCAAAATGGGTTATCCTTGAAGAGGCTAACACCTTAGGAATAGATCAAGATGAGGGCACCACCTAGAAACTGGGAAGGACAATCCACTGCTAGGCCTCCACTCTTTAATGACCAGTACTATTCCTGGTGGAAGAACAAGATGTGAGACCACATCATAGGAGAAGACTATAAACTTTAGGACATTGTTACTGATGGTCCCCTGGCTACTACAAAAAGAATGTTGAAGGAGTGGACGTGCCAAAGACGAGAGCTGACTGTATTGCTGAAGATTCGAAGAAATGGGAAAAGAATGCCAAGGCCAAGAAATGGCTTGTGTGTGGACTTGGTCCAGATGAGTACAGTAGAATTCAAAGCTGTATCACTGCTAAGAAAATCTGGGACACTTTGTAAGTGGCTCATGAAGGAACACCTTAAGTGAAGAGGTCCAGAGGAACACTGCTATATTCTCAATATGAGAATTTCACCATGATTGAAGGGGAAACCATACAAGAGATGTATACAAGGTTCACCACACTGACAAATGAACTTAAGTCTCTTGGAAGGGTTATTCTTGAAGAAGAAAAAGTTGAGAAGATTTTGACAAGGGTTCTGCAAGTCTCTTGGGAAAGCAAAATCACTGCTATTCAGGAATCAAAGATCATTTCCACTCTTAAGTTGGATGAGCTAATTGGAAATCTCACTACCTATGAACTTAGAAGGCAAACCATGAAGATGGATGCACCCAAAAAGGAAAGAAGCCTGACACTTAGAATCACTGAAGGTGCTGATCAAGAGGAGGATAAAATGACCATGATCACAAAGGACTTTAAGAAGTACCTAATTGGAGGAAAGGGCCCTTCAAGAAGTGGAAGCTACAGAAAACCAAGGGCTCCTGAAAAAAAACCAATGAGGGGTGTTACAAGTGTGGGAAGACTGATTACCACATCAAAAATTGCCCTCAATGGAAAATTGAATGGAAGAAGGAAAGAGCTGAATGAAGGAACAAGAAGAAGAAAAAGTTCAACCCGAGAAGAACAAAGGATCAACAAAGGCTATGGTTGCAGCCTGGGGAGAAAGCTCAGATGAGGACTCAGAGGGTGAAGATGGAGATGAACACGCACTTATGGCAATTGGAGAATTCGATGAGGAATCTGAGGTAAGTAT